CTACTACTTAAAAATATTTTAAAAATTCGCTATTCTTCAGGATTAGCTGGGGCTCAGTGCCTACTAGAACTCAGGTGATTTTCAGATGAATAGAATCATTAAATATTAAAGAAATAAATTTTTTTTTTATTTTTTACTAAATTTTGATTGTCTGATAGCGTTCGGGTGGTGGTGCTACTACTTAAAAATATTTTAAAAATTCGCTATTCTTCAGGATTGGCTAGGGCTCAGTGCCAACTAGAACTCAGGTGATTTTCAGATGATTAGAATTCTTAAATTTGGAAGAAATAAATTTTTAATTACATTTTTACCAAATTTTGTTTGTCTGATGGCGTACGGGTGGACCTGCTAATACTAAAAAATTGAAAGAAAATTTTCTATTCATCAGGATTGTGTAGGGTTCAGTCCCTACTACAACTCAGGTGATTTTTAGATAAATCGAATTATTAAATTTATAAGAAATAAATTTTTTTTTTTTTTTACTAAATTTTGATTGTCTGATAGCGTTCGGGTGGTGGTGCTACTACTTAAAAATATTTTAAAACTTCGCTATTCTTCACGATTGGCTAGGTCTCAGTGCCTACTAGAACTCAGGTGATTTTCAAATGCATAGAATCATTAAATATTAAAGAAATAAATTTTTTTTTTTTTTTTTACTAAATTTTGATTGTCTGATAGCGTTCGGGTGGTGGTGCTACTACTTAAAAATATTTTAAAAATTCGCTACACTTTTTAGGATTGGCTAGGGCTCAGTGCCTACTATAACTCAGGTGATTTTCAGATGAATAAAATCATTAAATATTAAAGAAATAAATTTTTTTTTTATTTTTTTCTAAATTTTGATTGTCTGATAGCGTTCGGGTGGTGGTGCTACTACTTAAAAATATTTTAAAAATTCGCTATTCTTCAGGATTCGCTAGGGCTCAGTGCCTACTAGAACTCAGGTGATTTTCAAATGCATAGAATCATTAAATATTAAAGAAATAAATTTTTTTTTATTTTTTACTAAATTTTGATTGTCTGATAGCGTTCGGGTGGTGGTGCTACTACTTAAAAATATTTTAAAACTTCGCTATTCTTCAGGATTGGCTAGGGCTCAGTGCCTACTAGAACTCAGGTAATTTTCAGATGCATAGAATCATTAAATATTAAAGAAATAAATTTTGTTTTTATTTTTTACTAAATTTTGATTGTCTGATAGCGTTCGGGTGGTGGTGCTACTACTTAAAAATATTTTAAAAATTCGCTATTCTTCAGGATTGGCTAGGGCTCAGTGCCAACTAGAACTCAGGTGATTTTCAGATGATTAGAATTCTTAAATTTGGAAGAAATAAATTTTTAATTACATTTTTACCAAATTTTGTTTGTCTGATGGCGTACGGGTGGACCTGCTAATACTAAAAAATTGAAAGAAAATTTTCTATTCATCAGGATTGTGTAGGGTTCAGTCCCTACTACAACTCAGGTGATTTTTAGATAATTCGAATTATTAAATTTATAAGAAATAAATTTTTTTTTTTTTTACTAAATTTTGATTGTCTGATAGCGTTCGGGTGGTGGTGCTACTACTTAAAAATATTTTAAAAATTCGCTATTCTTCAGGATTAGCTGGGGCTCAGTGCCTACTAGAACTCAGGTGATTTTCAGATGAATAGAATCATTAAATATTAAAGAAATAAATTTTTTTTTTATTTTTTACTAAATTTTGATTGTCTGATAGCGTTCGGGTGGTGGTGCTACTACTTAAAAATATTTTAAAAATTCGCTATTCTTCAGGATTGGCTAGGGCTCAGTGCCTACTAGAACTTAGGTGATTTTCAGATGCATAGAATCATTAAATATTAAAGAAATAATTTTTTTTTTATTTTTTACTAAATTTTGATTGTCTGATAGCGTTCGGGTGGTGGTGCTACTACTTAAAAATATTTTAAAAATTCGCTATTCTTCAGGATTAGCTGGGGCTCAGTGCCTACTAGAACTCAGGTGATTTTCAGATGAATAGAATCATTAAATATTAAAGAAATAAATTTTTTTTTTATTTTTTACTAAATTTTGATTGTCTGATAGCGTTCGGGTGGTGGTGCTACTACTTAAAAATATTTTAAAAATTCGCTATTCTTCAGGATTGGCTAGGGCTCAGTGCCAACTAGAACTCAGGTGATTTTCAGATGATTAGAATTCTTAAATTTGGAAGAAATAAATTTTTAATTACATTTTTACCAAATTTTGTTTGTCTGATGGCGTACGGGTGGACCTGCTAATACTAAAAAATTGAAAGAAAATTTTCTATTCATCAGGATTGTGTAGGGTTCAGTCCCTACTACAACTCAGGTGATTTTTAGATAAATCGAATTATTAAATTTATAAGAAATAAATTTTTTTTTTTTTTACTAAATTTTGATTGTCTGATAGCGTTCGGGTGGTGGTGCTACTACTTAAAAATATTTTAAAACTTCGCTATTCTTCACGATTGGCTAGGTCTCAGTGCCTACTAGAACTCAGGTGATTTTCAAATGCATAGAATCATTAAATATTAAAGAAATAAATTTTTTTTTTTTTTTTTACTAAATTTTGATTGTCTGATAGCGTTCGGGTGGTGGTGCTACTACTTAAAAATATTTTAAAAATTCGCTACACTTTTTAGGATTGGCTAGGGCTCAGTGCCTACTATAACTCAGGTGATTTTCAGATGAATAAAATCATTAAATATTAAAGAAATAAATTTTTTTTTTATTTTTTTCTAAATTTTGATTGTCTGATAGCGTTCGGGTGGTGGTGCTACTACTTAAAAATATTTTAAAAATTCGCTATTCTTCAGGATTCGCTAGGGCTCAGTGCCTACTAGAACTCAGGTGATTTTCAAATGCATAGAATCATTAAATATTAAAGAAATAAATTTTTTTTTTATTTTTTACTAAATTTTGATTGTCTGATAGCGTTCGGGTGGTGGTGCTACTACTTAAAAATATTTTAAAACTTCGCTATTCTTCAGGATTGGCTAGGGCTCAGTGCCTACTAGAACTCAGGTGATTTTCAGATGATTAGAATTCTTAAATTTGGAAGAAATAAATTTTTAATTACATTTTTACCAAATTTTGTTTGTCTGATGGCGTACGGGTGGACCTGCTAATACTAAAAAATTGAAAGAAAATTTTCTATTCATCAGGATTGTGTAGGGTTCAGTCCCTACTACAACTCAGGTGATTTTTAGATAATTCGAATTATTAAATTTATAAGAAATAAATTTTTTTTTTTTTTACTAAATTTTGATTGTCTGATAGCGTTCGGGTGGTGGTGCTACTACTTAAAAATATTTTAAAAATTCGCTATTCTTCAGGATTGGCTAGGGCTCAGTGCCTACTAAAACTCAGGTGATTTTCAGATGCATAGAATCATTAAATATTAAAGAAATAAATTTTTTTTTTTTTTTTTACTAAATTTTGATTGTCTGATAGCGTTCGGGTGGTGGTGCTACTACTTAAAAATATTTTAAAACTTCGCTATTCTTCAGGATTGGCTAGGGCTCAGTGCCTACTAGAACTCAGGTGATTTTCAGATGAATAGAATCATTAAATATTAAAGAAATAAATTTTTTTTTTTTTTTTTACTAAATTTTGATTGTCTGATAGCGTTCGGGTGGTGGTGCTACTACTTAAAAATATTTTAAAACTTCGCTATTCTTTAGGATTGGCTAGGGCTCAGTGCCTACTAGAACTCAGGTGATTTTCAGATGAATAGAATTCTTAAATTTATAAGAAATAAATTTTTTTTTTTTTTACTAAATTTTGATTGTCTGATAGCGTTCGGGTGGTGGTGCTACTACTTAAAAATATTTTAAAACTTCGCTATTCTTCAGGATTGGCTAGGGCTCAGTGCCTACTAGAACTCAGGTAATTTTCAGATGCATAGAATCATTAAATATTAAAGAAATAAATTTTTTTTTTATTTTTTACTAAATTTTGATTGTCTGATAGCGTTCGGGTGGTGGTGCTACTACTTAAAAATATTTTAAAAATTCGCTATTCTTCTGGATTCGCTAGGGCTCAGTGCCTACTAGAACTCAGGTAATTTTCAGATGATTAGAATTCTTAAATTTGGAAGAAATAAATTTTTAATTACATTTTTACCAAATTTTGTTTGTCTGATGGCGTACGGGTGGACCTGCTAATACTAAAAAATTGAAAGAAAATTTTCTATTCATCAGGATTGTGTAGGGTTTAGTCCCTACTAGAACTCAGGTGATTTTTAGATGATTAGAATTCTTAAATTTGGAAGAAATAAATGTTTAATTACATTTTACTAAATTTTGATTACGTTTTAAATTTAATAATAAGAAAGGTTTTGTGACACAAAATGAAAAACTATATAAAATAGTAATTAAAAGTCCAAGAAAGTAATCGATTTTCGATTATGAAATTTTAATTTTTCCATTTTTGCGACTTTATTTTTATTTAGTTGCACATATTTTTACACTTAATTTATGTTATGTATTAAGAAATAATGATAATAGTATTTTTTATGTATATCTTTTTTATTTTTATGATTTACATTTTTTAATTGGTTATAAACAACCTAAAATGATCATTAAAAATCAAAGATGGAAAAATGAAATTTCTAGAAAAGTCCTTGTGTGGTTTTTGTAGGATTCTTACTACATTTCCTTGTAAGACAATTCTGATAAGATTCATTTTAGGAATAGTTTTTTGATTTTTAGTATTAGCGTTTTTAAAGTAGTGGAAATTCTAAAAAAAAAACATAAATAGTAGCTTTTAATGTCTGAAATCTAAAAAACGTACCCAAATAGTAGCATAACGTAAAAATTGTAGTAAATAATAGGTTTTTAGTGGATGAGTGCGAAGCCTGAATAAATTTTTTTTCTCAGTGTAATAATACTATCATTAGCATATATTAAAGATTGTAAATTTTAATAATTTTTTTGAAAAAGATCATTTTTGTGGTTTTCCTTTTTTGTTTTTCTGCGGAAATGACTTGACCACCAGATTGTTGCAGGCAGACCCAACCAGTGTCGACCCTGGAAAACTCTCCCCCCACAGAGTGAGACGACAAGGACGAAGTATGTCGGTGCAATCGTCCTTAGATCCGTATGGTAGCAATACGACCTTGAGCTCGAGCGGAAGTGACGCCGGCTCTGACCAAAAACAGCATTCTGGCAGCAACTAACCGAAGGCCCCGACCGCTAATGGAGCGGTCGCCGCCGTGGATCAATCACAATATCACGCTACACAAAAATTAGAAAATCATCATCATGAAGAGTCGTCATCATCATCATCACCACAACCGCCCTCTAATCGTATTGACAGCAATACGATTCAACATTCGCCTAAAATTTTTAAACAAGAGAAAGTCGAAGTCGTAGTTGTAGACATTGAGTCAATAAAGCACGTTGAGACAGAGGGTCAGGAGAATATTTCAATGAAGGAGGAATTCGAGGCGGAAATTGGGCGAAAGGATATGGGCGAGGAGAAGAAAATGGAGAAGGAAATGACGGAAATGGAAAAGCAAATCGAGAACGGAGAAAATATTATTCAGGAAGGAGATATTGAGAATGAGATATTACAGCCGGAGGAAGTCGATACTACAAGCGGATTTTATATTCGTTTTTTGTTGAGGAGAGAAGGTCGTCGTGATTTAGTTTGGTTGTACAAAACGCACAGATTCTAAGTTCGATGAATTTTTTTCTTTTTCTTCGAAAATTTCAATTTATTTTTTTTTAGTCTTCGTACAAACAGACAGACGTAGGAAAACAAAACTTTCACAAATTAAGGTAATTTTTTATGATCCACAAGTTTTCAACGTTCAAATCAACGAAATATTTCTACAAATATTTTTTTAATACTTTTTAAATAATACTTTTTTAATAATGTTTTTAATATTTGTATATTAAAATATTATAACATTAAAAAAAATTATTACTAATATACTTTGTAGGCAATAAAAATAAATATTTTTTATTTTTTATTGAAAATTTTTGTAATATATTTTACAAAAAATATTTTTTATAAAAAGTACTTACATAAATTACAGATTGCAAATGAAAATTAAAAACTTAAATTTTTGATTTAGAAATTTCATAATTAATTATTTCATAGAAACATAATTATTATAATAAAAAATTTTTTTTGAAAAAGAAATAAATAAATTCCGTTCATTCGAAAGTTGAGAACTTTAGGATCATTAATTTTTATTTATTTTGTTAATAAGTCCAAACAGTATTTTATATTATTTAATAAATTTTTAATAATTTACATAAAATTTAAATAATTTACATAAAATTCAAATAATTTGGATAAAATACATTTTTTCCTTTTAATTGAAAATTTAAAACATTTTTAAAGTACCTTCTCATTATCTATAAAAGATATTTTATAGTAATGTCAGTGATTAATGTCGTGATGGTATATCAGATTAAAGTACAATATTACACGAATAGTGATTTCATTTGTCCTGAAGTGAACAATTTTCCAAACAGAGAAACTGATTTATTTTTAATTATATAAGTGATAAATTGTTTAAAAATCAATTATTTACAATGAGTATTATGAAAATAAGTATTATTTATTAATTGTAATAGAACTGACAAATTGTTAAATATTTTACAATTTTCCACACTTATTTTAATATTACTTGCTCAATTTTTTAAAATCGTTTTTATCATTATTCTTTTTGAAAGGAAAGAATATTCTTTTCCAAAAAGGAAAAATTATTCCCTTTCGAGAAGAAAACGTTTTTATTTTATTTTTTTTTAAAGAAAAGTATTCTTCCTTAAAAAGCGAAAATTTATGCTTTTTTTAAAATGAAAATTTGATTTTAAACATTTAATTTTGTAAAAATTTTAAATAGACATTTTAAAAATAAGTTTGAATGTTTGAATGTAAGTACAAGAAATTAAGGGGAAAAACCAAAAATGTTTGTATTAAGACTTTAAGAGTGATGTTATTGTTGTTAAAAGTTTTAAAATTACCATACAACATATCCATCGAAATGAATGATATCAGATTCATAAAATATATTTGATACTATGCCAGAGCCGGCACAAAAATACTGCTTTTAAAATGAAAAAATAAGAGGTTCGTTATCTGCCGGTTAATATCGATCGAATGACTGATTTTGTTTTTTCAATTTTGTCACTGTCCAGTTATTCACAGTGACACTAAAAAGCAAACAAAAAAATCATCGTGCTATTCGATTTATTATTTACAAATAATTAATGAACCAGAAATTTGCCACATTTCTTCTCTTCCATCTATTCTAACATTCTATTCTCTTCCATATTCTACGAAATATTGTTTAAAAAATATTTTTAAAATTATAAATATTTATTAACGCCGCTATTGTTGTTTTTACTCTCTAAATCTGAATCAGTTAAAAATTTCCACTGATTTTAATTATACCGCCTTTTTTTTGCTTTTGAATCAGTAAAAATTATTTATTCACCAGTAAATAATTTTCTATGATAAATCAGTTAATTTTAACTAATTTAGGATAAAAAAATTTTTTTTTCCGGGTAAATTAGTTAATTTTAACTAAAAAAATTGTTTTGACTGATAATCGGTAAATTTTTAATTTTGACTGATTCAAAAGCAAAAACATCGCTATTATTTGAAATCAGTTAAATTTTCAACTATTTTAAATTTGAAGAGTAGAGAATTTGAATTACAAGACTTATTTTATGAACAAAGACAATAGTCGAGAAAAGAAAAAAAAAATTAATTTCTTCCTTCATCTCTCCAATTTTATATTGTCAGAAAAAAAATTTTTTTATTTTTTATTACAGTATCTATTAGATATATATCATAAATTAGTATTATCAACATAATTGTTAGCTGGATCGTGGGACGCAGATAATTAGCCCCTATTATGTATACATTAAGGGAATAATAGGCAATCATTAAATATTGCATTAGAGAATTCGAGAGGTAAAAGTTGCCCTCTCCATCTCTCTTACATTTTCTCTCTATTCCATTAATCATCAGTTTTTATCTCGAGATTTATTTCAAGAAATAAAAACTGTCAACTAAACACAGTAGTACAATTATAAAAAAAAAAGAAAATAAATAGATAATAAAAAACAGATAGTTTGTGACATATTAATTATACAAAAAAAAAATTTTGTAAAGAAATACAAAATTAAACGCAAAATGGATTTTTGGTAGCAAAAAGAAAAAAAAAGAAAAAAAAATAATTCGGCCCCAACGAAAAATAAAAATTCACTTTTTGGGAGTATAAAACATTTATTTATTATTAGAGAAATTATAAATAAATTGATAAAATAAGTATATAATATAAATTGATTAACAAAATTTATATAATTTGATTGATTGTTGAATGTGAAGAAGCTAAATGTACTCTTGCACTATTCATTACAAAAAAATGAAAAACAAAAAAAAACTGATAAAAATGTGTAATGCCTTTGAGAGAGATAATATATACTTTCGATGTTATCGATTATAAAATTAATAGAAATTATAGAACCGCGTTAAAAATAATAGCAAAGAAATGAAAAGGTTTATCAATGTTTCTTCTGCCGGTGCTTTTAAATTACATTTATTTTTTTTTCTTTGTTTTATTTTTCATTTACTTATTTATTTTTAGTAATTATTTTTTTAATAAATTTTATATCTATTTATTTATTTTTGGTTCTTTTATTTATTTATTCTTTATTCTTTTAATTATTTATCGGTTAATAATTATCACGATTATTAACCATTGTTTCGGTGTGTATGTCAAAAACACACGCATTTTTTTATAAAACATCATTTTAAATTATTTATTATACACTTATATATATAAAAAAATATATATATGCAGAAGGCGAAATATAAAAAAGTGTTTCATTAAAAAAAAAATATGTATTTACATGTACGAATGCATAAATGTTGAGAATGAAAGTAAAAATAATATTAATAATAATATTAATATAATAAATATAATAAGTGTAATCGTATATCGTCTATGTGTAAAACAGTTTGTTTGCGTGAGCATGGATATTTTTATTATTTTATACACCTTGCATATACGCATAAAAGAAATCATGTTTACAACATTTCAACGTAAATTGTCATATCGTCAAAAAAAAAAAAAAAAAAAAAAATGCCATCACATGGAAATGGATCGATTTACACTATAACGATATAAGCAGTTTTTTGTCAATAAATATAAAAATTTCTCAGACATTATTCTCTTTCTAATATACGCCCTTTTTTCTAGTGATATTTATTTTATTTTTTCAATTAATATTCTCTATATTAAAATATTTATTTTCTATTATATTTTCAAGTGAAAAACACTTAACAACTGGAAAAGTTACAAATTTCAGTAATTTTAGTGAAATATTTAGTTCCTTTAGGGAATACTTTCGTTATTTTAGAGAAACTTGTCGCTGCTCCGGGTAAAGCTTCTTTTCGTGTTAAAAAAAAATTCTGATCAGTTCTTAATTATAATATTGAACATTAATTAAATTAATTAATTTTCTATTAATTTATAGGCTTCGCACTCATCTACTAAAACCTACTATTTACTACTTTTTTTTTCTTGAAAACTTTAATAAAATTCTTATTAATTATTAGTATATTTATTATTTTTGTTTTAAATATAGTTTTTCCTATTTATTTAATATTTTTCTGTAGACAGTATATTTATTTTTAAGGGAGAAAAAATAGTTAATATTTACACATTATTTCAGATCTTCGAGAAATAATTTATTTGTCTACAAAATATCAATTAGTAGTAACGATGTTTTAAGCTATCAAGTTCCTCATTGAGAATTAATAACAATAAAACGACGAGTAATAATAATAATACTATAGAGGAAGCAGCTATTATCAAATACATGTTTGATACAATTCTTTGTAACAAATTCAAGATTAATTACACGATTGCAGTGAAGCTCGAGTGTGAATAGGTAATCACTTTTGATTAGATATCAAATAATGAAAGTCATTTAATGTGAAATGATGAATAAACCTTGAAATTATTTTCCTTGATATTCTGAAAATTTTGGTTTTTTTTCTTTTTTTTTGAAAAAGCAGGTCAACAAGAATTTCGTATATAAATTACGTTGGAAATAAAAATCTTTTTCATAAGCTCAAAAATGTTGTTTGTGTCAATATTGATGTTTGTGAGATTGGTGGTGGCGTATCACAATCCTCATTATGTGCCAGGCCATGACACAATGGTCCATCTCTTCGAGTGGAAATGGAAAGATATTGCTGATGAGTGTGAAAAATTTTTGGGGCCAGTCGGTTATGGTGGTGTACAGGTACCTAATTATTAATTAATTGATAATTCATTTTATTTTATTTTTGACATTAAAAAATTGAAGTATATAAAAATATTTCTATTTTTTATTAGGAAAAAAGTAATTTTTGCTAAAAGATTAGAAATTCTTCGCACCTTATTTTTAATTTCATTTAATTTTCGTAATTAAGGATTAAAATAAAAAAATAAACTTATTTTTAATTAGAGTAGAGTAGAGTTTCGATTCTTTTGTCCTTTTTTGATGTTGATGCAAATTTGGAAAAGAATTTTATTTCAATTATTGCAAATAATTGAATTCCATCGGAAAATTTTACTATTTACAAAAATAATTGAATTCCTGTGAAAAATTTTAATATTTCTCAAAATAATTGAATTGTTCTTAAGAATTTTATTGAAATTTTCAAAAATATTATTGACTTCTTGTGAAGAATTTTATTGCAATTTTTGAAAATAATTGAATTCTTGCGCAAATATTTATTATTTTTAAAAATTAAAATTGTATTCTTGCGAAGTATTATAATAATTTTTAAAAATAATTGTAATCCTGAGAAGAATTGTAATATTTAAAAAAATAATTGAATTATTAGAATTTTTGAAAAAAAAATTGAATTCCTACGCAGAAATGTAATATTTCTGAAAATAATTGAATTTCTACTCAGATTTTTATTATTTTAAAAAATAATTGAATTCCTACACAGATTTTTATTATTTTAAAAAATAATTGAATTCTTGCGAACTATTTTATTGAAATTTATGAATATAATTGAATTCCTGCGCAAAATTTAACTATTTATGAAAATAATTGAAATTTTGGAAAGAATTTAAAAAATTTTTGAAAATAATTGTAATTCTGAGAAGAATTTTAATATTTACAAAAGTAATTGAATTATTAGAATTTTTGAAAAAAAAATTGAATTCCTACGCAGAAATTTAATATTTCTGAAAATAATTGAATTCCTACTCAGATTTTTATTATTTTAAAAAATAATTGAATTCCTACACAGATTTTATTGAAATTTATGAAAATAATTGAATTCCTGCGCAAAATTGTACTTTTCATGAAAATAATTGAAATCTTGGAATGAATTTAAAAAATTTTCGGAAATAATTGAAATTCTAAGATGAATTTTTGTACTTACAAAAAAAGAATTTTAAAAGAAATTTTTAAAAGAATTTTAATGCAATTCTTGAAAGAAAATTAATTCATACGCAGAATTTTAATATTTTTGAAAATAATTGAATTCCTTCACAGAATATTATTATTTATGAAAATAATGAAAATATTGCAATGAATTTTATAAAAATTTTTTAAAAATGAAACTTTCAAGCTGAAGTTATTTAAAATTTGAAGTTTATAACTGAAAATAAAAAATTTCGTAATTAACCTATGAATAATAATAATAGTAATAAATTGAATAGCGCGTAAATTTTACTAGTTAACTCTGAACAATTCAATTTCTTTAAAAATTTTAATGGAAATTTATTTTTTTTTAATAAGTTGAATTTTAGAGTATAAAATTAATCAAAAAATTATGAATAATCAAAATTTCGTTAAATAGTATTGTAAACCATTCAATTATTCGAGAAGTTACAGATAAATTTTTTAGAAATAAGAACAAAAATAATTTTAATGTCAAATTAATTTTTCTTTCAAATGAAAATATTAAAATTGAATTCTGAAAAAAATATCTCAAAATTATTTAATTACCTACAAAAAAATATTAGTTAAAAATTCGAGGAAATAATTGAATTTTGGAGAAGTTGCTTTATCTATTGTTTGAAATAATAAAAAATTAAGAAGTAATTAGGAATTAATTATGAAAAATTGACAAACAATATTATAAATGTCATAAAATTTGTATTAAAATTAATTTTATATTTTAAAGAACTTTATTATGATTTTTTAAAAATAATCTTGTTTTTGAAGAAGTACGAGAAAAAATGTTTCGAAAGTAGTTGAATTTTGCAAAAACTAACAATTGAAATTATTATCGGAATAAGGAAAAATGTCAGGAAAATACAAAATAAATTTTTTGTGTTAATCCAAAATAAAGAAAACGTCATTTCTTCGTCGTAAAGTCAATCCAAGGTGTGAGCTGATAAAACAGTTCAATATTTTTAATATAAAAAACCCAAATGTCATTATTTTCCCGTGACTTTTTCACCCCACTCTACTCTACTAAAAGTTTAGAAAAGTTTTAACTATAATTACTAATCGTCTAATTTAATTTTCATAATTAAAAATTGAAATAAATACATTTATTTTGAACTAGAAAATAAAAAAAAAATATTAATTTTATTTTTATTTAGTAAAATTTTAGAAAAGTCATTTTAAATTGAATGGTTATTTTAGAAACAGAAAATTTTTAAAGAAATTATTACCTGTTTTTTTTACTCGTTCGGCTATCAATTCTCTGCTAAAAAGTGTCTTCTTCTTTTTTATTATTTTTTTTTCGTTTTCTAAATTCAGGTTTCGCCCATTCAAGAAAATGTTATCGTCGCAAATAGACCGTGGTGGGAGCGTTATCAGCCGATAAGTTACAAGTGGAAAACAAGATCTGGAGATGAGAATGATTTCAAAATAATGGTACACAGGTGTAATCGAGCAGGAGTGAGAATTTACGTTGATATTATTTTGAATCACATGACTGGCGATCAGCCAATTAATTTAGGAACAGGAGGCTCAACAGCTGATACGAAAAATTTGAATTATCCAGCTGTACCTTATGGGCCCAATAATTTTCATTCAAAGTGCGAGGTTAATAACTACACAGATGCTGATAATGTCAGGAATTGTCAGCTTGTAGGTTTACATGACCTAGATCAGTCTCAGGAATATGTTAGAAATAAAATGATAGATTTTATGAATGCTGCTATTGACGTTGGCGTTGCTGGATTCCGGTTTGTACTTTTTGTTATTAATCAAGATTTTTCCACAGAAAATATAAAAAAAAATATTTTTATATGAAAATTATTTTATTTGTAGTTTTTTTCTGTTTGCAATGAAATAAAATAATAATTTTTAATCGTAATAAATATTTTTTAATGCGAAAAAATACTTAAATGAATTAAATAATCGGTTTGATTATTATTTATTTAATTACAGTATTGATGCTGCAAAGCACATGTCGCCGAAGGATTTAAAGCAAATTTTCTCGAAATTGAAAAATTTACCTAAAGACGAAGGATTTTCCGAAGGTTCTCGACCATTTATCTTTCAAGAAGTGATAGATTATGGTGGTGAGAAAATTTCCACAAAGGAATATAATGAATTGGGAGTTGTTACGGAATTTAAATATGGCTCTGAATTGAGTAATGTAGTTAGAGGAAATAATGCTTTGAAATGGTTGGTCAACTGGGGCGAAGCATGGGCACTATTACCATCGAAGGATGCTCTCGTCTTTATTGATAATCACGACACTCAACGTAACAGAAACTCTATTTTAACATACAAAGACTCGAAATTATACAAGGTTTTTATATTTTTCTTAATTTAATTAATATTTTTCTCATATTTTCTTTATTTTCTTCGATTTTTTTTGCTTTTAAGAAATAGAGACAATGGAAAATAAAAACTTACATTACAAAAGAGAAAAGAACTTTTTATGTATTTTTTATTTTTTTATTTCATTTATTTATTTTTTGAAAAATTTTGAAGATAAAAAGGTTAAAGATTACTTTTTTTTAATGCGCGTTACAAAGTAGAAAAAATAGAAAAAATGGAAAAAATATTAAGAAATAAAAACTATAAAAATAAACTATAAAAGAAGCAAATAAAATATAGAAAATAGGAAAAATAGAGAAAATAGAAAAAACAGAAAAAATTAGAAAATAGAAAAAAATTAGAAAATTGGAAAATAAAAATATTATAAAAACAAGAAAATAGAAAAACTTGAAATTTAAAAAAATAGAATAAATAAGAAAATACAAAAAATGTGAAAAAATAAAAAGAATTAGAAAATAGGAAAATGAAAAAATATGGAAAATAGAAAAAATGAAAAATACAAAAAATTAGAAAATAAGAAAATATAATAAATAGAAAAAATTAGAAAATTGAAAAATAAAAAAATAGAAAATAGAAAAAATTAGAAAATAGAAAATGAAAAAATACTGAAAATAAAAAAGAAAAAAAATTAAAAATTGAAAAAATAGAAACAAAAATGGAAAAACATAGAAAATAGAAAAAATGAAACAGAAAAAATTAGAAAATAAGAAAATAGAAAAAATTAGAATATTGGAAAATAAAAAAATAGAAAAAAATAGAAAATAGAAAAAATACAAAAAATAAGAAAAAGTTAAAAATTAAAAAATAAAAAATCCAAAAAATAGAAATTAGAAACAAATAAAAAACAGAAAAGATAGAAAAAATAAGAAAAAGTTAGAAAATTGTAAAATAAAAAAATACATAAAATAGAAATTAGAAACAAATAGAAAATAGAAAAAATAGAAAAAATTAGAAAATAGAAACAAAATTGGAAAAATATAGAAAATAGAAAAAAATAAAAAATAGAAAGAATTAGAAAATTGGAAAATAAAAAAAAAGAAAAAATTAGATAACAAAAAAATACAAAAAATAGAAAAAGTTAGAAAATTGGAAAATAAAAAAATACAAAAAATAAATTAGAAATAATTAGAATAAATTAGAAATTAGAAACAAATAGAATAAATAGAAAAAATTAGAAAATAGAAACAAAAATGGAAATCATAGAAAAGTGAAATAAATGTAAAATGAAAAAAAATTAGAAAATAAAAAAATACAAAAAATAGAGAAAAAAATTAAAAAATTAGAAGATTGAGAAATAAAAAATAGAAAATAGAAAAAAATGGAAAGAATTAGAAAATAGAAAAAATAGAAAAAAATGGAAGATAGAAAAGATTAGAAAATTAAAAAATACAAAAATACAAAAATACAAAAAATAGAAATTAGAAACTAGGAAAATAAAAAATAGAAAAAATTAGAAACTAGAAAAAGATAAAATAGAAAATTAAAAAAAACAAATTCACAGGTGGCCGTTGCATTCATGTTGGCTCACACATACGGCATTCCTCGCGTAATGAGCTCCTTCAGTTTCACTGAGTTCAATACTGGACCGCCGGCTGATAAGAATGAGAATATTATTTCACCTGATATAAGAGCAGACAACACGTGTGGCAATGGTTGGATTTGCGAGCATCGATGGCGTGAAATTTATAATATGGCCAAATTCCGCAATGCAGTAAAAGGCACAAACATTGAATCGTGGTGGGACAACGGAAACTATCAGATTAGCTTCTGTCGCGGGAATATTGGCTTTTTCGCCATTAATCTCGAGAAACACGATTTAAATCGAGTACTTCGCGTTTGTCTTCCGGCTGGCGTTTATTGTGACGTTATTTCCGGCGATTTACAAAATGGTCACTGCACTGGCAAAAAAGTCCACGTCAATCAAAACGGTGAGGCGAACATTCAAATAAAACATGACGAATTCGACGGTGTTCTTGCAATTCAACGAAATGTAAGTAACAATTTATTTTTATTAACTCTTAATTATTTTTTTTTATAATTTTATTTTTATTTTCCTTGGTAAATTAATAATATACCTAATAATTAAAAAAAATTAAATAAAAAAGTAATATAACAGTTAAAGTATTAATTATTAATTAATCAATTAATCAATTAACTATTAATTAATCAATTAATCAATTAACTATTAATTAATTATTCGCAATTAATTGAGTAAATAAGCGAATAATTAATTAATAATTAATTGTTCGCTATTAATTGATTAATGAACTATTAATTTATTATTAGTTGATAGTTAATTAGTTAACTATTATTTAACTACTAATTAATTATTAGTTATTAATTGATTAACTATTAATTTATTATTAGTTCTTAATAAATTAGTTAACTATTATTTAAATACTAATTAAATATTAATTAATAAATAATAAATTATTAAAGAATTAAATTAATTGTTAATTAATCTCCTCTCGGACGTTAGAGTTATGATTATAATTAAAACCACTTTTTCTTATTTTTCAGGTAAGAGAATAAAATTCAAATCTCACTGTGATTTATGGAAATACTCAAGAGAACAAAAATAGTATTTTTTAACAAGTTTATTTTAACAGAAACAAAGTGTATGTATATTGTGTTTTTCTCTTTTCACCATTAATTTCTACTATACATAATATGATCCGTTAATCATAAAAATTATACACGACAAATTTGTGAAAACAAATCGATTTTACAAAAAAAAAAAAAAAAATGCAAAAAAAATGCAAAAAAATAGAAAAGAAAAGAAAATTACAAAGAAAAGAGTGAAAGACAAAAGAAGACATGGAGCGGAAATTATAATATATAGGAAAATTATAGAGAAAGAATTATCACAAAATAGCCGCAACACTTTTCATTCTAGCATCCATTCCATCTTTTCATATACGTTTCTTCTTTTTTTAACAAATTTTTCTTTACAGTTTCATTATTAAAAATTCGTTTAAAGTTAATTTTAAGGATTAATTTGAAATATTAACTTTTTAAAATTCATTTAAGGAATTAAATTTTTGAAATTAATTGAAAGAATTAATTTTTTTAAATTAATGCATAAAGAATTAAAGTTTTTTAAAGAAATTTAAAACATTAATTTTTTACTATTAATTTCAAAAATAAATTTAAAAAATTAACTTTTTACAGTCAATAACAAAAATAAATTTAAAAAATTTAATGTTCACAATTAATTTCAAAAATTAACATTTTAAAATTACTTTAAAGCATGAACTTCGTAAAATTAATTTAAAAAATTAACTTTTTACAATTAATGTAAAGAATTAGTTTTTTAAAATTAAAGTTTAAAAATCAACGATTTAAAATTAACTTTTCAGAATTTTTCGATTTACAAATATCCTTTATCTATTTAGCCTAATGATTCTAAATAAAATACTAAAATCTCGTCTCTTTAAAAGCGCAATATAAATATTTATATGTACAGTAATATGTATATGTTAAGTAAAAGCCGCTGGGATCTTTCGCACAATTTTTTGTCCCCCATCATTTTTTTCACAAATTCACATTTTATACACAATAGTTTTAAGAAGATTATTTTTTTTTAATTATATTTTCTTTTTTTAACTACATTATACTACATTATTATAGATATATTCTACAGTTTTAAAAAAATATTTCTTGTTAAAATTATAAAGACATAGCTTTGTATTTATGAGTTTTCACTTCAGTATTTTCTTTTTTCGTTTATCAATATTTTTTTTAACAAGATATTTTCTCCTGACTTTGTAAATTGTGCGCATTTGTGTTTTTTTTTATTTTATATAATAAGTAAAAATTGCAGTTAATGTACATATTCTAAAAATACTGCTCGATTGAAACTTTTTTTTTGCAAATTGATATTTGTCACTCTATTTCTCTCACTTGAACGCACTATTTTTGTACTTTTTTTTTAACTCAGTACAAATAACATACTTTTTTTCTATTGTCTATAATTAGGTTTTAATTCTGTTAAGAATAAAGCAACTTTTAACATTTTGTAAATAAATAAGAATTTGTTACAGTTGGAAATGTAGTAAAATGTAAATTAGACAGAATTAACTAATATTGTAAGTTTATAAATTTTAAAAAGAAAAAAAATAAAAAATAAAATAATCTTTACTTTTTGCTTTTTTTGATATCTATATTTTACTTTTGAATTTTATCTGAAGAGAATTATAATTTAGTTATTCTTTTTTTTATAATTATCGTATTATAATTTATATAAAACTTGGTTAAAATATGTAAAGGAAACAACGACTTGAGCAAATTGTATGAATTATATGTTACTTTACGAACTAAAACAGTACTCCAGTGATTAATTATTGCACGTGGATTATTTTCTTTTCTTTTTAATTTAGTTAATATTTTAACATTCTTCATTTACAAACAGACATTCTTACTTTGCAGGCATTCTTAAATTTTTTTAATTGTCACCGACTCATTTCTTTTTTTCTGTAAAATTTTTCAACGTTCAAATGAATGAAATTTTTTGTTTATTTAATTAGACAAATTTTTTCTCGGTTTTACATTAGTAAATTTTTCTAATTCATTTTTGAAAAATTACAATATTTGGTTGCAAAATAACGTAAATTGATCATTTATTCAGGTAGGAATTTAATTTTTTCTTAATTAATATTTTTTCGTAGATTGTACCTAATATTTTTTAATAAAATATAAATTGATAGTAATGACATAAATATTGTCGTTCATTTGAAAGTTGAAAACTAGTGTAGGAATTGCGAAATGGAATCGGAGGCAAAAATTTCGTTTTTAGGTAGGTAACTAAAAAAATTATTCTACCTCTCCGCGTAACGTACGTGAGTATTTTTTCTGCGATTAAAATATCTGATATGCTCTGAGTATTCAAAAGTAATGATGCGAATATTTTTAATGATCAGTCAGAAATATGATAATAAACTAAAAATATTATACAGTGAAAATAATAGGCGATTATGAATTATTTTTTATGCACAGATGGATTTATATCATATGAATGTATATTAAGTAAATATCAATATATATTATTATATTTGAAAATATTATTTAAAAATATTTTTCAATATTAGTCAAACAAATTTGTTTCTAGATAAAATTTGCTTTATTTTAAATACGTATTTATAAATCACATTGTTATAGAATTCATTTCATCGTCTATTATATTTATTGCAATTTTTAACCCCAGACTTCATAACTGAAATTTTTTGTAACTTCATTAAAGTTTGTTATTTTTTTTAGAAATTCCTGAATACTTTTTTGATTGTTTGTTTATTTTTAATTTAATTTAATTTAATTTAAGAATAAATCATAAGAATTAATAAAGTTTCTAAAAAATTCCAATTATTTTCAAAAAGAATAATGAAATTTATCTCAGAAATTAAATTATTTATAAAATTTCATTAAAATTCTTCTGGAAAATTAAATTATTTTTTAAATTTTCAATAAAATTCTTCGAAACAATATAATAATTGTTAAAAATCAATTATATAAAATTTTAAGAAAATTCTTCGTAGAAATTCAGTTATTTTCAATATAATTTTAATAAAATTTCTAGAAAAAATTTTATTATTTAATTTCTTTTTTTCTGCGAAGAATTTCAATCCAACTTGAAAACAATTAAATTTTTTTAAAAGGAATTCAATTCTATCGAAAACATTTATAAAAATTGTATTGAAAAAATTGAACTTCACCGAAGAATTAGATTATTTTTCAAAATAATTGTCTGTTTGAGAACATTTTAATTGAATTTGTTAAAAATAATTGAATTTCTTAGAAGAACTCTATTATTTTTGAAAATAATTGAATTTCTGAGAAGAATTCTACTATTTTGTAAAGTAATTGAATTCTTGTGAAGAATTTTATTATTCTTAAAAATAATTGAATTCTTGTAAATAATTTTATTGTTAATTTTGAATATAATTGAATTTTTACGAAGAATTTTATTGACATTTTTAAAAATAATTGAATTCATAAATAATAATTAATAATTTAATTACCGAATAAGAAATTCATTTCCTTTAATTCTATTTTAAATTTTGAAAATAATTGATTTTTTTAAAAGAATTTTATTTACAATTTTTGAAAATAATTGAATTTTTGCCAATGATTTCATTGAAATTTTTCAAAATAATTGAATTTCTGCGAAAAATTTTATTAATGAAAATAATTGAATTCTTTCAAAAAATTTTATTATAACTTTTAAAAATAATTGAATTCTTTTGAAAAATTGTATTGCAAATTTTGTAAATAATTGAATTCCTATAAAGAATTTTATTATTCTTGATTAAATAATTCAATTTTCGCAAAGAATTTTATAGCAATTTTTGAAAATAATTGAATTCCTAGATAGAATTTTATTATTCTTGAAAATAATTGAATTCTTGTGAAGAATTTTATTTTTGAAAGTAATTGAATTTTTGAAAATGATTTCATTAAAATTTTTGATAATAATTGAATTCCTGCGAAGAATTTTATTAATAAAAACAATTGAATTCTTTTGAAGAATTTTATTGTAAGTTTTGTAAATAATTGAATTCTTATACAAATTTTTTTATTATTTTTGAAAATAATTTAAATACTTAATCTGAAATTATTCAGAAAGTAAAGTTGATGCTTGAAAATAATCATTCTAAATTGGAAATCAAGATTTATTTTTAAATTTAGAAGATAATTTTGTAATTTGATAAACAAAGAATATGCATTATTTTAAACACATTTTTAAATAAACAATCGTTCCAGGAACAAAACAATTTTTGGGGTAGTTGAGTACCCCATTTAGAGAGTAACTTATAAACAAGAAGTCTAGGATTAATTTTACTTTCATCTCAATTTACAATTTTCTCTTTATTAATCATCAAAATCCGAGATGAAACTAAAAAAAATATAAATATTATGAAGAAGAAGAAAAATCAGTAAATCACAGAAAATAGAAACAGATATTCTATTAGTACGTGCGTCACGCGGCAAATAGTATTCGAAAAATTCTACCATTCGTTAAGTACGGTAAATATATATCTATATATTTTTTTTTGTTTTTTTTATATAAATATACGAAATTTATGAAATTTATGAAATTTATGAAATTCATTAAAAGAAAGAATCAGGCACAAATCTTAAACGATTGCGGAAACACTTAGCATGTACGATGACAAAGGCGGAGTCTCCTATTCGGACAGAATAACAATAAAAATAATTGCTGGAGATAATGACAAAGGTCACTGCTTTATTGGCTTTTTGAAGACGACTTCCGGTTTGCGAACCGGTCGTGGAAAACGTCGTTCTATCCTAAGAGCGCGATTTGGGTCTTGCAATTCGGACCCAACTGGAGTCTCCGCCATTGTTTGTCAGTTTCCGGTGCTGTTGGGCCGCCTGCCAGGCGTTTGCGTTGCGGTCGCCGCTGCGGCTGCTGCGGCAGCGACGCTGAGCGCCGGAAGTGGTGTTTGATGGCAGTGAGCACAGTGCAGACAGACTGTGCACGCTCCTAACTTCCTGGCCAGTAACGCCCTCAACTTCAGCGCTGGACCCAATTTCATTCCCATTGGGCCCGTCAAGTGCTCCTCTGACAATAAAGGCAGCGACGCTCCGTCGATTCGGTTCTCTCGAAAATTCTGAATCAGACAAAATTTTTTCTTCTCAATTCTGAGTGTTGTTTTTTTTTTTTTACTTATTAAAAAGAACTTGAAGAATTCTTCAACAAGCAGAGTTGCCACAGTAGATTAAGCAAAGCAGATAGAAAGCAGTGGAAAGTGAAAATGCGCCAAGTGAAGGAAATTACAGGTTTTAACGAAACTACTGGAAAAATATCGAAATTTCTACAATTGCTGTAAGAAAATTCGGTTTTTTTTCCTTTTTTTATTAATTTATAACCAAAAATTCTTCTCGAATTTTTTTTGTATTATTATTTTAATTACATTCGAGTTACTATAATTTTTAAAACGAATCTTTACCATTTTTTTGTCCTGTCTCTGTATTATTAATAGTTGTATTTTAAAAAATATTTAAATAAATTCAATTGAAATTCAATTATTTTTAAAAAATTATTTCAATTTTTAAACATTAAAATGAAAAATTTTAATTATAAATCTTTTTGAGAATAATTATAATTAAATTATATTGAATTGAGTTTCAATTACTTTATAAAAAGATATTTTAAATTTGAATCATTAAAAAAAATTGTAAAAAACAATTTAATTTAACTCTTCCGAGTTTCATATATTTCCAAAAATATTTTAATTAAATTCTAATTAATTAAATTAACTTTCAATTGTTTATAAAACGATTTTAATTTTAATTCTTTAAAAATTTAACTGAAAATTAACTTTAAAGTTTTACTTAAAAATTAATATAGATATTTCATTAAAAACAATTGAATTTTTAAAAGTATTAATTAAAACCTTTTTATAATAATAAAGTGTTTTTAAGATTTTTATTGAAAATTTGAAAAATAATTGAATTTTTATATTGTTCATTAAAAATAATTGAATTTCTGAAGGATTATGATTGAAAATTTTTTAATAATTGAAATTTCAAGTAATTTACTAAAGTAAATTGAATTTTTAAGAGATTTTAATTAACTGTTTTTAAATAATTGCAATTTTGCACATTTTATTAAAGATAATTAAATTTTTGAATGATTTTAATTGCAAATTTGGAAAATAATTGCAATTTTGCACATTTTATTAAAAATAATTGAATTTTTGAAGGATCTTAATTGAAACTTTGGAAAATAATTAAATTTTTGCACAGTTTGTTAAAAATAATTGAATTTTTAAAAGCATTTAATTGAAAATTTGGAAAATAATTGCAATTTCGATTAATTTCATAAAATAAATTGAATATTTGAGAGATTTTAATTGAAATTTTTATAATTATTTGCAATTTTGCACATTTTATTAAAAATAATTGAATTTTTGAAGGATTTGAATTGAATGTTTTTAAATAATTGAAATTTTGAATAATTTTTTTAATATAATTGAATTTTTGGAGGATTTTAATTGAAAATTTTTAATTTATTAAAATTTTGAATAATTTTTTCAATATAATTGAATTTTTGAAGGATTTTGATTGAAAATTTGGAAAATAATTGAAATTTTGCACATTTTATTAAAAATAATTGAATTTTTAAAGGATTTTAATTGAAAATTTGGAAAATAATTGAATTTTTGCATAGTTTTTTTAAAAATAATCGAATTTTTGAAGGATTCTAATTGAAAATTTAAAAAATAATTGAATTTTTGAAGGTTTTTAATTGAAAATTTGGAATTTTCGAATTTAATTTGAAATTTCGAATGATTTATTGAATATAATTGAATTTTTAAAGGATTTTAGTTGAAAATTTGGAAAATAATGTCAGTTTCTCCTAATTTACTAAAAAAAATTGAATTTTTGAATTATTTTTATTGAAATCTTTAAAAATAATTGCAATTTATTACGAAGTAGCTTTAAAACTGAAAAAAGCAGCAAAAAGTAGCATTAAAACTGAAATAGCAACAAAAAGTAACTTTTAAACTCTGAAAAAAAGCAGCAAAAAGTAGTATAAAAACTGAATTATCAACAGAAAATAGCAATAATACTGAAGAAAGCAGCAAAAACGAAGAAAAATCATCTGAAAACGTAGAAACTCTAACAACTTGGATTTTTTAGAAAAATTAATCTAAAAAATAGTGTCGCATAACTAAAGCAGAAAGTATCCAAAAAATAGTAAATAGAAGCATTTAGTAAATAAATGCAAAGCAATATTCTAAAGAAGCGTCAAAAAAATTGCGTATTTTAATTCACTAAAAAGATATTGTCAACTTTCTGATATTTAAATATACAAAAAGTTTATATTCTGTTATTCCCTGAAAACAGTTTTTCCAGCGTTATCAAATTGAGAAAAACTATATGAAAAAAATTATGATACATACAGTATAAGAAAAAACTAATTTCTTATGCATTTTGTTTAAAGAAAATAACAATATAACTGAAAACAAAATTATTACAATTGTTACAATTATTACAATTGAAAAAAATTATTATACAGAGTAAAAAAAAATAATTTGTTTTGCATTTTGTTTAAAGAAAATAACAATATAACTGTAAACATAATTATTACAATTGTGCAAAAATTGATGATGTGCAGTAAGAATAAAATCATCGACTCTGAAAATTTATATTTATAAACAATTGACAATAATTGCCATAAATTATAATAAGTGGAAAAAATTGATGATGTACGCGCAGTATAAAGTAGTTTGTATAATTTGGAAGAAAAAGGGGGATGTTGCCCGTAACGGAATAACGATTCATTCACAGCTTGAAAGTTGTATGGAGGTAGAGAAGGTAATTGTGAGTGTACTCAAGGTTCAGCACCATTTTATGAATGAAATATTCAGACTGTAATGCGAATTCAACACGCAACAACAACGAGTGCTAGGCTAACCGGTCTCTCTTCAGCACGCGTTTCTCCATCCTCTTGATACTGATCGTCAATCTTTAAGATCGAACCATCGCCGATCGTCTTGAACTTGTTCATTTTTTTTTCTCCCTGCTAAATCTCGTTTCTCTTCTATATATACATATACTCTTACATATATTATAACTTTTAACTCTTTCCTTCCATTTCGATTTGTTAGAAATTTACATGTACACACTGTCAGCGATTTTGCATTTCATTATTTCAACCGAATGCAAAACAGTAATTTACATATTTTTCGTCATTTTCGTCATTTTGAGAAAATTATATTTTTAATACAGTTGTGATTATATGAGAAACAAACAATTTTTTTTAGGAATTTTTCAAACCTTTTTTTGGAAAAAAAATATCAAGCAATTTTTTTGAGAGAAATTACTGAAAGTAAATTCGTTTGCTTAATTATTTTTTTGTTGTTGTATTTCTTTCATTTTTTTAAATAAAATTTCTGTAAACCAAACAAATATTTATTTGATTCAGATTATTCAGTTTAATAATTTTTGCCTGCAGAGAAAGAATTTTATCACCTACAGCACAATTTTACTTGAACCAAACAAATATTTGAACGTGAGTAAATTTCATAACATTTATTATCCAAATATTGAGAGAGAAAAATATTTTTTACGCAGAAATAATTTTTGTTTACTATTATTTACTTTTAATAAAAAATATATTTTAAAAAAAATTTTCAAAGAATATTTATCTATGAATAAGAAGTAAAATTCCCTTTCAAAATTTATTTCATAACGTTTATTATCCAAATATTGAGAGAAAAAAAATATTTTTTACGCAGAAATAATTTTTATTTACTATTGTTTAGTTTTAATTTTAATTTTTTGAATTTTTGATGGATAAATATTGTTACAAATTTGGTCAAATTAATTTTTGGTTTAAATTTAAAGAAAAAATTATTTTTCTATGAATAAGAAGTAAAATTGCAACGAGAATTGGTACCAAAAATGTGGATCAAATAAAAAACTGATCCAAATTTGACACTTTCAAGCAAGTAAAATTTGAAGTGTAAAATTCGAAGAGATTAGCAAAAAAAATTTTGTTTTTGCAAAACAAATGTAGTTTTGACAAAACATTTTGTTTTGAAAAAGAAAAAATTTTTTTTACATCTTGAAAAATCAAAGTTATACTTTTAATCGGTGAATGAAATTTTACTCTTCGAAACTAATCCAAAAGAGCCTGGAGGATATGTAGAGAAATACTCCAACAATGTTAGTATATAATTCACATATATATTAATGACTTTAAATTACATGGTAAAAATGATGCTTCGGGCTGTTTCGCAATAATATTTCAGAGTTTAAACTTCCTTGAAGCGATTTTTTTCAGTTTTTAATTTTTAATTTTTAGTTAAGAGACATACCGTATTAGAAATATATATTTGATAATAATTCACGATCGAAGTAACGCCCGTTTGTGTAAAAATGTAAATAATTTTTACTCTTCGAGACTAATCATTTTTGGAAAAAAGTTAAAGATGTAAATCAAAATAAACAAAAGTAAATAAAAGTAAATGAACATAAATGAAAATAAACAAAAAATAAATTAAATTAAATGAAAATAAACAAAAATAAATGAAAATAAATAAAAATAAATAAAATTAAATGAAAGTAAACAAAAAGAAATGAATATCAATAAAAATAAATAAAAATAAATAAAAATAAATAAAAATAAATAAAAATAAATAAAAATAAATAAAAATAAATAAAAATAAATAAAAATTAATAAAAATCAATAAAAATAAATAAAAATAAATAAAAATTAATAAAAATAAATAAAAGTAAATAAAAATAAATTAAATGCGTGATTTTCAACGAAGTGATATATTTTGACTACGGAAACTTTTTTTTAAAGAAAATTAATTTTTTGAAAATTTCTTATGTAGATCTTTTAATTTTTAATTACAATATAATTGATATTTTTCGAAGATTTTTAATAAAATTATTAAGAATATTATCACATTTCGAAAAATTTATTAAAAATTGTATTAAAAATCATTTGAAATCCTGCGAAGAATTTTATTATTGCCAAAAAAATAATTGAATTCTTGGAACGAATTTCATTAAAACTTTTTAAAATAATTGAAATTCTGTGAAATATTTTATCATTTGTGGAAATAATATGATTCTTGTGAAGAATACTATC